GAAAGAGCTTTAATAATTAAAAGAGGGTCACACGCTGTATTTTGGAAACTCTTTACAAAAACTAATATTATCTTTATTTTCATGAGATGTATATAGCACATAACTTAAATGTTGATAATGACTTGAGATATTTATAACTTGAAAAGCTGTGGAATTACCATGAGGGTACCAGAAAATAATAATTAAAAATTTCTTTCTAACTCTAATTCTTAACTCGTTTTTTTCCTGTTGTTTTATGCTGTTTCTTATTCTGATAGGGATGTCTTTTATTTTGGGGTTTTTAATCATTTGTAGTTTACTATGTTTAGGTTTTTGTTTTAGTATTGTCTTGTATTAGTGTGCTCTTGTGAAGCACTTTGTGCTCCTGCGGAGTTGTAAAGTGCTATATAAATAAACTATTATTATTATTATTATAATGATGATACAAGTATCCAAGTAAACAGACTCTTATGTGATGACAGTCTAATTCTGAAGAAAGAAGAAAAAAAAATCTCTAACCGCAGATTTATTCTAAAAAGATTAACAGTAGCCCCCAAGCTATTTATGTCAATTCATAATAGATCTCAGTTAAAATACGGTAATTTTCAACAGCATTCCCCAACACGTTTTATTTTGAAGAAACACCAGTTTCCTTTCAGCTTCACATTAGTGACACAGCTTGTTTGGTGTATTCTTGATGTGCAGACTAATAACATACAAGAACTTATTTAAATAATAATAATATAGATTTAGAAAGATGCCATTAGGATTCATTATAATTTATTTTGAATGCCTGTGTGTGTGTGTGTGTGTGTACGTGCGTGTGTGTGTGTGTAGGAGAAAATGCCACAAGAAATTACATCAGTTTTGTTGGAGTCTGCTGCCACCTGCTGGTAAACAATAATAAGCGGCTTGAGCGTGTTACATTTACTGTCTTTACAATACAGGAATAGTATAAGTATTCATGAGAAATTTCTTTGGGCCCATCTCTAGGTATACATTTATGTATATAAAGCACCGATTATGTAGACTACCATATTTTTTATCAGCTAAGATAAACTTCCTTGTTTGACCCTAAAGATTATACTAATCTCCTTTAAAGCCTTGCTCATTTGTTGTATGTAAAACACTTGGACACTGGATGACTTGTGCTATATAAATACATTTTCCTTGTTGCTTGTTGCCTCAGTAACGAAAATTACTGCATTTATATTTTATAATCAGACCATAATTTAAAACAGCTCCACAATCTTTACTGCTTGCATTTTACTTTACTCCAGAAAAACAAAAACAAAAAACACTGAAGGAAACAGAGTAAACGAGACACATATTGTTTTGTTCCCTTTTATTTAAAAGGTTTGTTTCTTTTGACCCTAAAACACTGTAATAAAGAGAACATGCATAAAAATACAGATGACCATATTTTCTCTCACAACAAAAAAAATTTGCATCGACTTAACACACTCCCCATAAAATGTACACACGGCAGATGTGGTTCCTAAAGTCACACAGACAACTAAAAAAACACAAAGTTTGACCTCTGACCTTAACACACTCCCCGTAAAATGTACACACGGCAGATGTGGTTCCTAAAGTCACACAGACAACTAAAAAACGCAAAGTTTGACCTCTAACCTTTGCGAAACAAGAGAAAAATATTTAAATTTGATGATTTTACACATGATTTCACAACATATATGTTGCTCACTTTGGTTGATCTTATTGCATTACAGTGCTTTCATTATGCTGTTACTTCGCTTTCCCCCATGTTGTATAAAATGAAACCAGAGGTGAGTGGGCCATTGCACTGCTTCATACTGACTGTAAAAAAACTGGACATGCTCATCCGAACGCACGTCTGTCTAAGCCAGTCCAGCTTTAAGTAAAACAGATGACATGGCACTTTAATACCCAGGCCTAATACATCAACAAAAAGCAGGCATGATGGCTCGTATTGCACAGTAACCCAAAAACTGCACGTCAGTAGAAGTATATGAGGCCAGAGAAGCCCCAGCTCATGGACAAAAACAAACACTGGAGAAGGCAGTGTGAAATACCCACTTGTATAAAAGTTCATTTGCGCAGTGAGCATCACAAACCCTGCAGACGTTCTGAAGAAAACAGATACAGCTGATCTGTTGATGATTGTCTGAAAGTGATTGTCACTTTGACGGAAATTCAAACAAAAGGATTCACAAATTTAGCCAAAAATAAAAAAAAACACCTCAAGGATAAAAAAGACAGAAGTGTGGTCCATTTTTCTGGTTTCAGAAATGCGGTGTCATCTCTCTCGGACCATGCACTAAAATGAATTCTGTTCCCAGTTCAACAGTCCGTAATGTGCTTGTTTTTATTGACACTAGTCTACTAAGGCGCTGCACACAGCAGCTTCCATCACTAGCGAGTGTCTCAAGAGGGAAAACAGGGCTGCACACATACTGTGTTTTTCAAATATCTGTAGAGAACTGACTTCAGATTTACTGCAGTTCTCTGAAGTCTGAGGTCAGTGTGCAAAAATGTCCTAAACTGGTGTTTTGTTTGTGAGCAAACTTTAAAATAACCTAACCTACCTTCTATCTGACCAAACCATCACTGTAGTGCTAAGTTGTTCTTAGAACTGTCTCTTTTTACAGCATTTTTTGTACAATCAGGACAAAATTAAAACAGATACTGTCCCATCTGAGAGTATGGCTTTGTTTCCACAAGCTCTTCAAACCACATGCAACTATACGGCACGCTAACTACAAACACAAGCTTCAACAGAAGCTGAGAGGAAGCACTTTGCTGTTTTGGTTTTGGCTTTTTCAAAAACGCCTTTCCTGTTGACATCAAGTGGATTTTTGTTTCTTGAAGAATGAGGCTGAAGTTAGGTTCTGATTGGGAGCTGCTCATATGCAAGTTGATGGAAACCTTGTCAAATAAGGTCTACATATCATTTTAAAAGCCCCAAGACTGTAAGTGAGCTGCCCAAACCACATATCATGTCTATAACATAGTTTTATGGTCAGACTTATCAAACCTAAATTGAGCCCTAATACAGAGCCCTAATACTGCTTTAAACCTGGTTTTCATATTTAGTGTACTTTGTTTTTTTTCTTAAGATGGGACAAAGAATTAATGAGAAGATATGAATCAACTTAACTTCAGCTGACCTCAGACTGGTCTTGTATAAAGGGGAAATGCACTTGAGCTGATTGCATCTACAAAACATCTACGCACACTAATACCTAGAACAAACAACTTCCACCCTTTACTTTCATAAACCATCATCAACCAGCAGAAATCTAACGGCACAACATTCATAATCACTCAGACATCGTGTCACTCAGCTGAAGGGTTTCTCCAGCTAGTAAGAGAACCAGAATCTCCGGCACTTTCTGTTTGAGCGGGACGTGGCGATGATGAGGAATGTGGGGATGGTGTAGGCTGCTGCGGGGAGCGCTGGTGCAGAGCTGGCTACAGGACGGCAGAGGAGGAAGTCTGGGGCATCATGACACCCCAAGCAGGAGAGAAGGCGAGGTCACAGAAGCGCCCTGTGTTTTCACCTGAAAGACAGGAGCTCTTCAGAAAGGTTTGCATCATGGTGTCGCTGCAGAACCTGTTAAGAGTCTTGGGGAGGATGTTTGATAAAATGTTCCCTACGCCGGGCAGTTAGCAGCCCCATTATTTTATTACTCCTACTAAAAGATCTGCTTCCCTCTGTTTGTCACCTCCAAGGTTGTTCTTGAGCATTTCTTGAACATGTTTAACAGTGGAACAAATTGTTTTACCATTAAAACATTTGAACTGTACAGCAGAAGAAAGCCAATTCCTACTGAGGTTCTGCAGCACGTCATACCTGTATATACAGGTACTGTTTATTTTTATGGGTATTTTTTATTACTACAAACAGGGAAAAGGAGCTTGATGTATCAAAAATGCTCAGTTGAGGGGGCGGGTCAGTGTACATGTTTGATTGACAGCTCAGCCAACAGATGCATTAGTGCACAGTGCATGAAAAACCTCTGGAAGCGGTGTGTTATTAGCAGAGGACCACAGCAGAGTCTAAACCGACTGTGTCCAAGGCAGACCATGCAAAAACATATTCATACCAAGGTTACCATCAAAAAGCAAGCACCGTCATCAGAACCAAGAACAGCAGGGCTGGGGGACTGTACCTTTAGAGGGCCAGGGAAGTGAGGAAGAGGAGGAAAAGGAGGAGGAAGGAGGAAGAGAGGAAGAGGCCTGGCAAAGGGAGGAAATCCTGAGCTCGTTCTCCTGAAGAAACTCAGCAGGAGTCAGGGGAGAGGGGGTGTTACAGAGATGAGGAAACAAAGACTTTCACTTTGAATGACCCACTTGTCATTGTTTTTCTCTGCTTGTTTACCATCATCATCATCCAGCTCCTCAGTTACTCTCTCCTGCTAGAATCACCAGTTCATTAAGCTCAGTGGTGTGAAAACACATATTAATACGTTACAAACTCACCTGTAAGTTGGTCTTGGCTTTCCTCAGGACATCCCGAGTCCTCGACACTATAAACAAACACACCAGCGAGTTAAGGAACCAGCAGGACTGACTCAGGTCATGTCTCTGCTCCAGGCTGAAGGGAAGAGGCTGAGGATACGCTTATGACAGTGAAAGAGAACTACTGCCGATGATGGTGGAAGATCAGCACCATCACCACGTCTTAGGAAAATGAATCTTTTCCATCCCTCTGGTTTTCAGACTCTTACTGTAGGTCAAACAACTAAACATCTGACTAATAGTTAAATGACAGATAAGAACAGACGGCTTTGTGAGATTAAAGGAAGAGAAGATTCAAATATTATTACTGATCTGTGCTTTTTAAATGATTTATTATTATAAGTTATTAAAAGAAACCAATAATGGTACGTGGTTTGAAATGTGTCCCTAGAGTAAAAAGCTTTAGGAAGATCTCGACTCACGCTGGCTGACTATAAAGTGCTCCATGCTATCTTTGGTGCAGTTGGAGCTCTTCACTCTCTCCATGGCGTCCTTTAGAGCCTGCTCTTGTTCTGAGAGCTTCAGACGGAGAGAGCGAACCTCCTCCCTGAGAGACCGATCCTAAAAACACATATGTGCATAGAGAAAATAAGCCAAAAACACAGGGCAGTCAAAGCAGCTGCAGACACCACAGCAAATCTGTGACAAAGATGCATCAAAGACAGCAGACTTTCAACACCCCTGGTCTGTTTCTGGCTGCATTATCTCAGAGCCGTTGGGTCCCACCTGTTTGCTTTCCTCTGAACTGGGCAGAGATGCTCTCCAGAACATCCGAAGCAGGGACTCGACCTCCTCCAGTATCTGTCTCAGGGTTTTAGTGTCAGACAGCAGCTTCCTCACACAACTTGAGTCTGAAGGCTGAGACACACAAAGCACAACATGTTACACTGCAGGTGACACCAGGAATCTTCGGGCTCGTGGCTTTTCCAGCTCCTGGTCTCACCTGATGAAGGCTGAGCTCCTGTGGGCTGCTCAGGGGATGAAGGACGGCCTCCATCCTGCAGAGCAGAGCACTGCTCTCCAGGATCTGCTGCTGCAGAGCTGTGAAGTCATCAACATGGCCGACCACATGGCGGCCATGACAGCTGGCAAAAGAACCGCCTAGAGCTTGGCCCCGTAGAGTCGAGGTTGCTGGGTAGGAACAGAAGAGATTCAGGAATGAGGAAAGGAGGGAGACACAAATATTTAATGTGCAATAAGGTGGAATAACAAGATAATCTGATAAGGTCATGAACACAGTGTCACATATCTGAAGGTAAATGAGAAGAACAGTTTTCCTGCACTGTATGGCTTGGTCAGAACTGTTCATACAGTCTGAGAGCACTGACTGAATGTGGGGTTCTCACTGTGATCAGCAGCCCCAGTCTCATGTTTCCACACAGAACGGAGAGGATGGGAAGGACTAACGGGCCCCGCGTCTCTCACAGGTGGAAAGGGAACATTATCTGTAAAGGAATGTCCCCATCAGTACTGAGCTGCACGACTTTTCTAGATTAAAGTTCTGAAATCTGCTTTACACTTCTGTTTTTACATTTGCATCAGACACACTGACCATTGAAGAGCTGTGTCTTGGCCCGAGGCTGTGCGTCTGCCCGTCTGCTCAGCTGCTGCTCCAACTGAACATGGAGCTCTGTGGGGTCAAAGGCTGCAGCATCACTGACCTGGCCTGCTCAGAAACACAAAAACAAACTAACAATCATTATTAGCTGTCATTGTCCAGGATGTTTCTACTAGACTAGAAGCCTGCATTAGTGAAGGAGCACTGTGGCGAGGAGCCTGACCTGAGTGAGCGTTGGTGGCGGCCCCACAGACTCTGTGAAGAGAGTGGACCAAACTGTGGTTCTCACACAGCTGCTGCTGGAGGACGCTCACCTCATGCTGAAGCCTGATAACACACACATACTGCCCATGAAATCACAGGATATTTACTAGTTATTGTTGGGTCTAGTTCTGTTTATATGAAGCTTTTATATGATCACAAAGCCAGCTCACTTGCACTTGAATACTTGTTAAGACCCCTACTGACATAATGCCCCAGCATTAACCCTAATGAGTAACGTAACCCCAGGCATCACTGCTGGGTGTGGTCAGAAGTGTGTTGCATGTGTAAACAGAGATTTCACAATGTACTGTCACACCCTGCAGTACACTTCTTCAGTGTAGTAAGGTGGCAATTTAAATAACCGGAGGTCAGTAAAAACTGGATTGTCAAGGGGAGATAAGTTGCCCTTTAATTCTCTAATCTCAGCTTTTGAACCAAGTCTTAACTCTGACATTGCCTTCTGAAGATGTGAGGACTGAGAAAATGTCATGACTCTCTAAAAATGTCCTCACTCTCAAGGTGTCAGATCGATCCTCACGAAGACAGAGAACAAGAATAAACACACACACACACACACACACACACACACACATACACACACACACACCTGTTGATGGTTTCCTGGTTCCTCTGTTTGACCTGTTTCAGTTGTGTGATTTCCTGGATGTGAACCTCAGCCTCAGTTTGCAGCTTCCTGCTTTGCTCCGCCCATCTCTCAGCCTCCAGCTCCACCTGCTTCAGCCTGGCCTGCTCCATGTGCACCACCTGCCTCAGCTGCTCTGCCTCCTTACAGCCCTCTGCAGGGGGCATGTGACAGTACAGACCTTAGCCGTCATTTGACCCTGAACTGACCCAATGCATATTTGCTGCAGTCTTTGTTAGTGAATATCAACTCCTACCCTTCACCCCCTGCTTCAGCTGGCCCTGCAGACTCATGTTCTCCTCCTTCAGAAGCCTGATCTCAGTGGACAGCTGTCTGACCGAGTCCAGCCCCTGGATGTAGATGTTGGTAGAAGCGCCTGGACAGAAGAGTCAACAATCAACCACTTCTAAAAACCACTCCAAGACCAACACGGTACATACAGTCCAGTAAAGGAAGTATTCTGTTCTCCACATTTCATTATGTATCAGACTCATCTTAAAATGGATTCAGTTCGGTTTTCTCTTCATCAATTTACACACACAATACTCCACAGTGATAAAGTGTAAACAGGTTTTTGGAGTGTTTTATTAGTTTATTAAAAATAAAAGACTGAAATATCCCATTTACACTTTGTTCTGTCACTTGCACTTGAGCTCTGGTATATCCTGCACAAAGTGCATAAAACTTGAAAGATTCTTTCTGTACTGACTGTGCAGGTAGTGACAAATGAAAGGAAAAACCAATGAGTGGGATGACAGAGCACCCCCGCATCTACAGGACATGAGGGCTCACTGACTGGTCTGATGAGGATGACCATGATGTGAACCAGACGCTGTGGCCTTCCCAGTCACCAGGTCTCAGCCCAGCTGAACAGCTATGGGAGATGTTGGAGTGACGTGTTAGACAGCGTCTCCACCACCGTCATCAAAACACCACATGAGGGAACATCTGGTGGAAGAACGGTGTTCATCCCTCCAGGAGAGGTCAGAGACTTGGAGAGTCAAGGTGGAGCTGTTGTGGTGCATGTGGTGGCCCAGCACCTCACTGAGACTCTCTGTGTTTGTCACCCAACTGTTAGCAGGGCATGTTACCTTTCTCAGTGGCAGTGAGGGCCAGTCTCTCCTCCAGCTGCTGTCGGAGGCGGTCGTTGGTCTGGATGGAGTCCTCCAGTCTCTGCCTCAGACTCCTGATCTCTCTCAAATGCTCCTTCATCAGGTCTGAACCTTCAGTAGAACATGACAAAGACAGGTTAAATATCTGATCTGAATTTATAGACCACTGTCACTCAATCGGGTGATGAATTAAAAATATACTGTCAAACACTGATAATGATCTTTAAATTTTGGACAAACAAAACCAGCACTCTGAGCTCTGGCACCTCAGTCTTTCAAGATGCTCCATAGCTTCACCCATTCATCTGTTAAACAAAGCCAGTATAGTCAGTGGCTGCCTCTGTCAGTTGCAGTCATTCACGTGTTTCTACCTGTGTGGCTGGTGCCTGACTGGTACCCTGATGATCCCAACGACAGGTCAGCTCCGAGTCTCACTGGTCGGGTACCAGAGGCTACATCCCATAATGCGCTGCTCTCCAGCAGGCTGGCTCCAGCTTTAATTGCCAAGCTGGCATCCAGACTGCTGCTGCTATTGGCAGTGCTGAAGGGAGAAGGCTGGTATCCATGATAGGAGTGAGGCAGGAAGGCAGAGGAATCCAGCTGCTGGTGGGCAAACGGGAAACCCTGAAGAGGTTTGGACTGGGGAGTGGAAAACCCTGAAGAGCAGAAGAAAATTAAATATGTAAATAAAACACTGATGAATGAAGGAAAGCACAACAGACACAGGCTTCGTTCACTGGAGACTGAAGGGTGAAGGGATTTGTCTTGACATAGGGAGTGAGTTTGTTAATCAAACTACATGTCTGGTTTGAGGTTTCCCAAAGCAACATCCCTCATCAGATCACAGCAAATCCTTCTGCAGCCGGGTGCTCTGGGTTCATTAAGCATCAAATGAGGAGCAGACAATGATCAAGGAAAGAGAGCAGAGCAAGAACAGAAGAAACAAAAGAACAAAGCAAAGGGCACTTGGAGAGATGTGGATTATTAAAGCTGGTGAACTCTCACTGCACTTCACACTCTGTGTATCTACACACAGTGAGGGGTCTCGGTTGTTCAGACATCTTTTTATTGAGCTTCTTGTTACACAGTTGTTGCTCCAGTTTTTATTAGATGAAAGGTTGTGAGTCATCCCTCCCTAACACTGTGAGTCAGCCTGGCTTCCACTGTGTGCAGAATTTGAACACTTCACACTTTGGCGCCCTCCAGTGGTAGTATCACACATAAACTGCTCCCTCTCACACATCATCTTGGCTACAAACACAGAACATCAAACTGTGTGAAAATCGCCAAAGCTCTTCATAAACTCGGTAAACATGTCTGACTGGACAATCCACCATGGTGCAAATGAACGTGGATGCCACATGGTTTGCACCGGGCTTAGGATATTCCCATTTACAGTATATGCATTACTTTCAGCTTGTCGCTTAAATTGTTGTACTCTGCCTGTAGGCTTCCTGTCAGTTACCAGCAGAATATGCACAAGGACCTATAACTTACAATAAGCTGCCCAGGACTCCCTGTCCTGTCAGGTGTGTGTGATAAATGTACAAATGCAGTTTAAAAACATGTCAACTCTCTGGACATTATTGGTGGAGCAGCTGGAAAAGATGCCTGACCAGGACGTCGGCTACAAAACCTGCACATTCAATAACTCAGCTGTTCATCATGTTTCTCAGGCTGTGAGTGCAGAATTAAGTTTACACTACTGCCCAAATGTTTCTTGCCACCCATGGCTTGATTTTGTACTGCTGAAATTCTCAGTCTGGTGTGCTGCACAGTGAGAGAGCGTCAACACGCAATTAGTTCACATGATGTTTTTGACACACTCTGACACCCCAACTCATGCATTTACAAACGCACTGCCACTGTCTCCCAGCTGCTTCTGTAGCATCTGCAGCTCCTGGTGCACCTCAGCCAGGGAGAAACCTGTCCCCCCACTGCCATGGTAACCGGCTTGCAGGGCTGTGGGGTGGGGACTGAAGGGCAAAGGTGCTGTCTGGGTGGCAGAGGAAGGAGCAGGGTGGAAAGGGGCGGTGGTGAAGACTGAGGCTGGAGCTGGGTGTAGAAGAGGAAGGAAAAGGAAAGTGGAAGTATAAAACAAAACCAAGATGGATGGAAACACAGTAGAAAGGACCAAAATCATGGACACAGGAAAGAAAAAGAGAAACAGAAACAGCTGCAAAGACCTGCACACAGCAGCAGGGGTAATAACGCAGTACAAAACCAATTAGCACAAAGTAAAATTTTGTTCTTTTCCAGCCTGGATCTCAGTGCCAAGCCCCGTCCTACCTGTCCAACTGGGCGTGTCTGCAGGTTTGGTGAGCGGTGATCTGGGGCACTGCATGCTGGGACAGCTGAGGCAGGACTGGGTTCTGTGGGATGAGGCATTGGATGGAGGGACAGATGGATGGTGTGACATGGTGCCACTGTGAGAGTGGCAATCTGGAAATGAAAAGAGTCTGCTGTCACCACAGGACACGACGGATGGAACAGACTGGGCACTGAAACAGCAAGACAGGTGTGTGCATTTCACCTTTGATAATTTCTGCACTCAGAGCATCAAGCTTAGCCAGGACATGTCTGTTATTTGTGATGAACAGAAAGGACGTGAGGATACTGCAGCGCTCATGAGACAAAAGTCAAGAGCCAGACTTAAACAATAGATCTGGTCAACAACTCCTCGACAGACACAAACTGTCCGTGATCGTCTCCTGTGAGTTTATCACAGCCTGATCCCTCTCCTCCCTCTGAGCCACAGAGCCCCACTGTGTCCAGACAATACTGGAGCCCATCAGCACCCGCTCACCTGTGCTGACTCTGGTAGAAGTCAGAGTCTCCTCCTGGTTGAGATCACTGGCAGCGTCCACATCGGAGCAAAGCTCCAAGTCCTCATTGGTGGATCCATGCTCATCAGACACACAGGATAGACGATCTGATTGGTCAGTGGTGTCCGAGAGGGCGTGGCTGCTGCAGGGCGTGGCAGAACGATGAGGATGATGATGGTGGTGATGCTGGTTTAGTTTGGCACGGAGAGACTCGATGACTTTATCCTTCTGCTGCAGCTCCTTACTGAGCCTGTGCACATATATACATATACAAGCAGACACACATATAAACATGTTATTGGTCCTGTCATTCATTTAACCTTATTCTAAAGTCCATAATAATTTAAAGCAAACAAAAAAAATCAAAGATCTCTTAGACAACACACAAGCTGCGTATACAGTGTGTCCCCTACAGCTGATGAAGGAAACTGTGAAGTGCTGGTACACAGATGCTGAGGTGAAGGTCATTCATCCACATCAATACAGACACACACTCAGTAAACACACACACGATTTCAAAAGTAAAGTCAATCTGCTGTACGTTTCCATCACACACGATTTCAAAAATAAAGTCAATCTGCTGTACGTTTCCATCTGTTGATCACATTCACAGCTACAAGTTCCCTGTTCTTTGTTTCCTCTACTTGATCTTGTTTATTGTGTTGTATTTCAGATGTAAAGACATTTTAAGACTTAACTGTAGCAAAGCATTTTAAAAATATGTTCTTTGAGTCACTGAAATGAGATCGGTCTCGTGCCTGTGAGTTCGGTACAGAGACTTTTCACCAGTGACTCACGAGGGGCAGTGAAACCAATCTGTCAATCTGTATTTATGCAAATCCAGTTTGTACTCCTTCATTTTTACAGTACCACAGTATTCAGGTCAGGACACGGTTAGCCTAGCACACTCTGTCCAGAGACAAATCAAGCATCACTCCGTTTTTTTTCCTGTGGGTCGGTCTTACTTGTCGAGTTGTGCGAGCAGCGCCCTCCTCTCCCTGTCAGTGTGTTTCTTCAGCAGCAGCAGCTCTCTCTCCTGAGCCTTCCACTCCCACAGAGAGAAGGAGAACAGAGAGTCCCTGTACAGCGGGCTGCTCTTCGACAGCATGGTCCTCCACAGTGGAGCCATCGCCTCCAGGCCCCTCTGTTCCACCGGCTACTGAGCGGCCATGCCTCCCCTGTTTGCTCCCCTTGCTCCCACACTGCCTTGTTTAAATTTTCTCTGATGCGGTTTTTCTGCAGAAGCGGCCGAGGTCCTGACCCCTGAGTGTGTCTGACAGCAGGTACAGCAAACAGGCAGAGCGTGAGCAGGGCATAAAGGGATGGAGGGAGGTCTGAGCGCATGGGCAATGAAGTGGAACACAGAACAAATCCTGATTAAGTTTGGGCCTCCTGGAGAGAGTTCCTGCGCATGCACACGTACACACACACAGATCCTGGGAGTGTGCGCGCCAGGACTGACCTAAACAGACACCAGGTCAGATTTGAAAGTAGTTAAAAACACAAAGATGAGCTGAGGCTGCAAACTGAAGCCAGAAAATCAAATCCAAATGTTTCCGATCCAACCACAGCAGGTCAGTACAGCTCAACTCAAGATTTTACCTCAGCAGATGTGAGGAGGTGAAGCATGAAGTAAATACTAAAATACAGACTGTTTCAGTTCTGTGGTGAACAAACACTGACACTCTGGGTTTCCCTCTTTTTTTGTCTGTGACTCTGCTAAATTTCCCTTTCTCTGCCGTTCCCCATTTCTGGTCCCAAAATTCAGCTTTTTTTTCACTTAATTCTTGAATTAAATGTAAAATAAAATCAAAGAAAAGCTCTGGACTCAACCTCTCATGCCCCCAGCAGCAGGAGCCCTGAGGCAGCTATGCAGTGACGAAAGAGCAACACAAAGAGGGAGAGGAGGGAATGAGGGATGTGCACATAAATGGATGTCCGGGTCCCGAGGGCTCCTGTGATCACGCTCCACCAACCATCAGAGAAAGAGAGAAACAGAAACTGAATGAATAATCATCCACAAAGCAGCACTTCCTCTTTCCTTTGCTTGTCCACCCACAAACATAGACGAGCTTCCTGATCAACAGTGCACTCATTAAACAAAAGTGGGCCAGGACCTGCTGAGGAGTTGAAAATGTAGAACGTGTCCCATGGCAGAACAAGCTCTGTGCATTCACCTCCAGCTTCGGGGAAATCCAAGAACCGATACCAAGAAAAGTGGGTGGAAATGCAGACAAGTCCAGACTGTCCTCTGGTGTATGGTGTGTGGGTCTTACCCGGTGGAGACCCGAGTCCTGCTGGACGTTTAGCGCCACGCGCAGCCCCTGACACACTACAGTGACGCTCTCTCTATCAAGCCTCGTCCCTCGCCTCCCCCCTCACTCTAACGCTCTCTCCCTCTCTCTCCCTGTATTTAGCTGCTCCTGACCTATTTGCCTCCCCACTCGAAGTCGTAATAACTTAACCTGATTAGAGCCCGTGTCAACATGCCCCGAGCCTAAAGCGGCCAGCACAAGCCTCGGCAGCGTCACAACATGTGCACCCACAGTGCATTTATCCAAGATATACCATATGTCAGTGGAATTAGGATTTTTTTTAACATCTCCATGTTTATGTCCAGAATAGGTCACAGTCTTAGTGTGACCCCTACCACCACACACACACACACACACGCACACTAACAGAATCAGAGGGACAGTAAATGAGATGGCTGTCGCAGAAAACACAATAATTCTCCTGCACATCTGGTCGGCCATCTGTGCTGCAGCGGCATGACGTCACTGCCGCTTCTCTCTGTGTGTCAGTGTCTCTGAGGGGCAGCTCTGATTTCTCTCAGAGCGCCGTTTATCGGGGTTTAACAGCACTCACCCATCTCTACCCAACAGCAGTGGTGAGACTGACATGCAGCCAACTGTTTTGCTATAAGCATATTTTATTCTCTTTGTCACACTCAGATATAAAAGTCAAAGAAAGAGCTGTGTCCTAACACAGTACAGCACGTTGTGTTACAAGTGAGTGCACATCCAGGACACCCATCTGTCATCCAGAGGAAGTGGGAGACACGCTGGGCTTCCAGCTGTGGGCAGAAACAGACCAGACCCTACTTACAATATTTATACTGTACAGGTTACATTTATAGAACTGAAGGCTTAGAGGTTGTTTCACACTGAACAAGCTTTACTGAAGAATCAGCCCCATAGGAAACTGTCTGTGCCGAGTTTTGTGGATTATTTGCAGCAACTGAACCTTCTAAAGTTTCACTGTAATCCCAGTCTAAGAGGACCAATTGAGAAAGTTTCCAATAATGAATCAATAATTCAGTACAGGTAAGGGGGCCTTCACCTCTACTGTTTGTAGACAAAACATGGAGCCACTTATGTCCAACATGGGAGATGCTGGATGTTCTTTGTGGGTGATGTCACTAATGGAGGATTCAGGCTTAAACATGTGTGTTTTACAGTATTCTACAAGCGTTGCAGCAGTTTTTCTGTCTTCAAAGCTTCTTTTCTTCCACGTGCACTTTGTAGGCAGGTGAAATTGAGCCAGAGCGTTTATTCTATATGTGGGGTAAGTGGTGACATGGTTTTGATGACTGAAAGCCTTTATCAGGGCGGGGCAGTGGGGCAGTCAGGGGCCAGTTTCCAATAATGAATCAATACTGAATCTTTACTTTGGTTAAAATGAACACTTCCTTAAAGGAAATCACTCTGGAAACCAACACAACTTAAATAACTGACTCACAACTGAGTTGCTATTGGCCCTATAATTAGTAGTTTGCCAAACTCACAAGATCTTAGGAAATTATTCAGAGAAGCCTGAGCTGTACACTAACGTGAACCCAATCGTTAATGTGAAAACATCAGTAGGGAAGGCCATCTGGTAGGAGATATGGTTGTCAGGCATCTATCCACCCACGTTCCCTTCCTCATTAATCAGGCAGTGGGAGCTTCGCTCACTATCGAGTGCGCCTCTGATTATTCTGCCCTGAGGGACAAACATCAGCCACAGAGTCACACACGATGCTTTCCACCGACCAACACTGAGCCAAGCTGTTACGCAGGACTCAACACAATGCCAGAAAAACAGTGACATGCAAAGTCAGTCACGGACAAGCAGCACACACACAGCTGGGGTAAACAAGCACTGACCGGATGGCGAGCAGCTCCGTCTTCTCCTCTGGATCTTCAGGATGGGCTCCTGTAGAAAATGAACAAAGAGCACTGACGTCACTCATGTAACTACGCACTCAATTACATTTTAGCCTGATCAGAGATCAGACTGAAGGCAGCCGTGTATAGTGACATAACTAAACTAAATGACTCACGGCCACTGATCTTGGCACTGACTCGCTGTGCCAGAGCGCTGCTCTGGGCCAGCTGCTCCCTAAAGCTCTGGCCCATGTAGTAGTCAATGTCAGTGGCCCTCAGCAGCTCCTCGAAGGCCTTGGTGGTGTCTCCCAGGTGCTGAGTGAGGATGCTGCACACGCCCCGCCCCTCCCTCAGCCGCTGGCGGAGCAGAGACAGCTCTTTGGCCTGAGCCTGCACCAGAGCGTCGAATTTACTGCAGGAGGAGACCAAGAGATATGACAGTTACACAGAGTCACCCAGACCAAATAATACAAACACTCTGCAACAAGTAAATGTGGTTTATTTGCTGTTTTAAAACAGATAGAACCCAATCCTCAGTTTAAAGACTAAACTCTTTAAAACCTCTGCTTGCCGCCACTCACCCCGGCCAGGTGGCTGGCGTTCCACCCTGGTTCACAGCCTTCCCGCCTCCTTTCCTCAGCTGGTCCTCCAGAGCGTCCACGCGAGACACCAGCTCCCGCAGGCCCTTGTCTGGGTGAGGGTGACAAGGTGAAGCCAACAACCCTCCATCAGGTGACTGCCAGTCCTCATTGTCCTCTGGCCTGCGTCGAGATGGTGAGCCCTGGAAGAACCAGTTGACCTTGCGGGGTGTGGAGGGTCCATAGTCACTGGAGGTGCAGAAGGAGTGGAGGCGGCTCTGAAGCCCACGGATCACTGCCCGAGAGCGGGAGAGCTGGGCGCGAAGGTCCTCGACAAGGCACTGGAGCAATGACACCTCGTCTCCACAACTGGAGCTCTGGGTGGTGGTTTTGGTGAAGGTGGAGCTGCTGCTGCCAGGAGGCCACCAGTCCAGAGACGTGCATATCTCCAGGTCATCAAACTCTGTCAGGACACAGCACCAGAAAAAACACTCTGACACAGCATCACACAGAAAAAGGTCTGACTTTGCCTTCACTCTCGCTCAGCATCACCCATTTGTTTCTCTAGCATATTTTTATTTAAAAAAATTTCAGATCTGAAAGCAAAGGAAAAAAACGACAACGTGCAGGATCTGTTCTGCAGCCAGAATGTAACTGTGAAGTTTTCTTTACTTCTAATCAGATTCCAATAAATCTGAAGGCACATTGTGCGGTTTGCTTGGGAATCCTGTTATTGTTATTATTATTATCATTATTAAAAACCTAAACTGAAGAGCAGAAATGAAAAAACTGGTTCAGAATGAGAAGGCTCGGTGTGTGGTTGATGCTGATGCTTTGCTGCCCTCTGGTGTTGATGACTCCTAACTACAACTACCCGACAGCAGACAGGAAGTAGCTGTTCTCATGAAATTTATACCGGAAGACTTTGATCCTTGTGTAAAATTTAAAAATGAAAATCAGAGTCCTCAGTGAGTCCCCACACAAAGCAGGCTGCAGGTTCCTCTGCAGACACTGGGAGTACTGGGTGAATACCTGGGCTGCTGGCGTCTTCCCTCTCGGCCTCGTTCTCGCTGCGCCCACAGGTCTCGTAGCCCAGGTCCTGCAGGTCCACCTGGATCTGCTTACTGTCCTACTGAACTGCTGTCTCTGCTGCAGGGACACATAGAGGCCCTGAGCTCAGTGTGTGTGTACTACTGCCCTGTTGTGACCAGGTTACTGGTTTGATTATTCTTCTGTTTGTTTAGCTTATTTTGCAGAATAAATAGAGATGCAGCCAGACATTTCCACTCACTCAGCAGCTGCCTGTAGTCTTTGAGCTGCTCGGCCTGAGCCTGCACCGTGGCCTCAGAGACCATGAGCCTCTCCTCCAGCTCTCTGCTCTTCTGCTGCCGCCGAATTGTCTTCTCACACGCCGCAGAGGACACAGCGCCCTGCCGCATGCTGGACGACCCCTCACTGCCCAGGTCATCAACCTGAGCGAGCAAAGCAAAAAAGACTGTGATGTTTGGGACTCTTTTTATGCTGGTGTTAAAAGGGGTATGTGATAGTCGCCCACCTGTGAGGAGTTGGTGGCTCTGTTCTTCCTCTGCCCTTCACTGGTCTGGGTGTTGGTGTGTGACAGAAACTGCTTGCCATCCCAGGCGTCCCACAGCTCAGAGCTTTCTTCCTCCTCCTCCTCTTCTACTCCCTCTATGTTTACATCCAGCTCCTCATCGTCCTCTTCCTTGCCCTCCTCTTCGCCCTCCAGCACCAGCTGATCATCGCTCCGTTTACTGTCAGGCTGTGTCCCCTCGGTCAGATGATGCTTTAAATCTTCGTTCTCAGCTTGCAGGCTGAACAGAGCCTTCCTTTAAACAGAAGGAGGTGAACAATTACACAGAACCTTCACCCCCTTGTGGGCAAACAGCAGATCAGTGGAGCGTTAAGGCTCAGGGATAAGACTCCATATCATCACAGGAATATCAGCTGTGAACCCTACACACAGACACCACTCTTTGTCAGTTCGGCTCTGCACAAGGAACTGATTGACTATCAGGAAAATACAGACTAATGCCAACCTCCTCCTTCAGGTGAGTACTGTTCCTACTGTACCTCATCTGTGCCAGTGAGGAGAAGCCGGCCTTCTCCAGCTGAGCCTTCAGCTCCCCCAGCTCTCTCTCCACCACCCTCTTCTGCTCCACCAGCTGCTTGACCTCCGTCAGGCCCTGGCCTTCAAATAACAGATCCTGTGTGGGAGCTTTTCCCGGGCCTCCTGAACCCTGATCACACACACACAGTCAGAGCTGAATTATAATTCAAGACAAACTACAGTGGTGCTGCTGAATACGCCTGGCTTGATGGAGATTTGTCTGGAGATGTAAATGGACCTGACACAACAGACTGAAAACTCCAGCCTATAGCATTAGAATCACTGTGTTAATTCTGTTTCCTGCCTCAAGGGTGTTGAAGAGTGGAGCAAGTCCACCGGTGAGAACTGGGAAGAGACATTCATGACCCCATGTTTGTCGTTTTAAAATCTTTTCTTAAAGCATTTTTACATAGTTGAGACTGTCGTGGCTAGAGTGTGATACCGACTAAATTAATTCAGACAAACCATCCCAATTTAAAGGATCATTTAATATTACAATTATTCTGAATACAGTAGTATTTAAACACATAATCTTGTAGTTAGGGAACAGAGAACAGAGATCAGAGAACAGAGACTCTCCTCTTGCAATGGAATAGATAAAGCATAAGGAGATTGTCAGAGCACCAGTCAGTCAAGTCATTGGATGTCGGTCCCGAGTCGGTTCCCCTGTCAACCCCCAGTCAGTCGTCATTTCCCCCCGGCCCTCCGAGGCCGGGCTTGTGGTACACTGTTCACGGTAGCATGGTCATCCTCTCTTCCCCGTCTTCTGCTCTAACCCAGCTTTTTATATGCTCATACTCACACAGCTGGAGCCATGAAGACGCGGTCCCATGCCAGCTACCCACACACACCTTCTTCCTAGCATTGTCTAAACTGTCCAGTACATGACCTTCTAGGTCACATTGACATTTTCTTTTTCTAAACCTGAACAGAGCACACGAACAGTTCACATAAGGCTACAGCTACAATATATCCATTCCCTATCTGAGGAGGAAGTCACTCAG